TACGCTACGCCATCGCTGGATGAAGGTTACAGGCCACATCGGTCCCCATCTGCGAATAGGCAGCAGTACCAGGCCCAACAGAGATACGGCTCTGGACAGCAGATTGTCAGACCAAAGCAACCCAAACCAGGCAAGCAGGGCCTTTGACTTCCACCTGTTTACCTCTCCTGACCCTATCCACCTCCATCCATATTTACAGGCCTGGGCCACCATTACGTCAGACCAGTGGGTCCTTTCCATCTTAGCCAAGGGCTATTCCATCGAATTCATGGAACTCCCACCTCTTCCTATAGCCATCATCACAACCCCGTCGTCGTTCCTCCTTGAGGAGGTCACCACACTTCTGTCAAAGGGTGCTATAGAGCCCATGCCTCTAGATCACCAGGGACTCGGTTTTTATTCCTGATACTTCGTGGTTCCCAAGAGGGACGATGGGCAAAGGCCGATCTTAGACCTTCACGGTCTCAACACCTTTATAAGGTACCAAAAATTCAAAATGACATCCCTTCCCGTCATTCTGCCTCTCCGGTCCCAGGGATGCTGGATGGCCACCCTCGACCTCGAGGATGCCTATTTCCATTTAACTATCCACCCTGCCCATCACAAATACCTCTGATTCACGATAGGTGGCAGCCACTACCAATACAGGAGTCTACCGTTTGGCCTCAGCACGGCCCCGAGGGTCTTTACCAAGATGATGGTAGTTGGGGCACATCTCCGCCTCTGTGGCCTGACAGTGTTCCCGTATCTGGACGATTGGCTTCTGGTCACCCCTTCCAGGGCCTTCCTCATTTGTCAGATATCTCCTTCATTGTCTGTATCTCCTTCAGTCAATCTCCTTCATTGTCTGGGACTCAGGGTCAACCACAAGAAGTCACGCCTAGTCCCTTCTGAAAGAGTGCAATTCATAGGGGCGATACTCGATTCCTAGGAGGGTGCAGCCTTCCTGCCCCGGGACAGGGCACGAACCCTAACTGTTCAGGGAGAACAGGTTCGGCTACGAGGAACCTCCTCCGCCTTCCAGATTCAATGCCTCCTGGGCCTAATGGCGGCAACAACTGCAGTCCTCCGTTTTGCAAAGTTGCGAATACGACCCCTCCAGCTCTGGTTCATCCATTACTTCAAGCCTCTAAGGATGTCCCAATCTGTTGCTTTTTCCCCACCACAAGACGTACGTGACTCCCTGCTGTGGTGGACACAGTCAGACAACCTGACGGAGGGGATCCCGTTCCGTCCTCTCACTCCTACTCTCACCCTCACAACCGACACTTCACTGTGGGGCTGGGGAGCTCACCTCAACAGCCTCTCCGTAGGCCACAGGTGGGATGCTGTATCCTCAAGGAGACACAAACTTTCTGGAACTGTTGGCAATAAAATTGGCCCTCCAATGTTTCCAGCCTCTGCTCGCAGGACAATGTGTAACTGTCTTAACCGACAATACGACGGCCCTCAGTTACGTCAACAGGCAGGGTGGAACGATCTCCCGCAGCCTCTGCCTCCTTGCTCTGGACCTTTGGACCTGGTGCATGCCTCTGCACATCTTTCCCATTGCCTCACACATCACTGGCAGGGGTCTCTCCCAGCGTCACGACTGGGAGCTGAACTGGACCTACCTACTTCCTGTCTTTCAAGAGTGGGGCACACTTCATGTCAACGTCTTTGCCACCAGGCAAAACTCGAAGTGCACCCTGTTTTGCTGCAGGGCGGCTCAGGATCCCAGGGCTTTGGGAGACAGACTCCTGTACCCATGGGACAACAACTTCCTGTATATGTTCCCACCTCTGTTGCTGAGAACAGTCCAAAGACTCATGTGGGTCCATGCGAGGTGCATCCTGATTGCCCCCTGGTGGCCGAGCCAACCTTGGTTCGCCAATCTCCTCTCGCTAGCCAAGGCGCGTTATCCCCTCCCACAGGTGCCAGATCTGTTCCTGGCGGAGGGAAAAGCCCTCCTATTCCATGAGGTGTACAAGCTCAAGTTAACAGCTTCTCGTGGACACTTAACTTTCTCTGACAGAATCAACACTGTGCTACTCAATGCCAGGAAAGATTCTACATGATGTTCCTAAGATGAAGGCTAAGAAGCGGGAAGTGGGCCCACTTCTTAGCCTTCATACACCCCGCTGATGTCCCTCCGGCTTCTGTCAGGATTGACTAGGTCTTAGACTTTCTGCTCTCACTGGCAGAGAAGGGGCTCTCGCACTCCTCTCTCAAGGTATATTTGTCAGCTATTTTGGCCTACCACCCGGGCTTCGACGGCTTTTCCGTTTTTTCGCACCCGGTCACAAAGAGGTTTATGAAGGGTCTTCTCCACCTGTATCCACCAGTCCACTCACCAGGACCCTTGTGGGATCTACTGTTGGTGCTCCGCCATCTTATGGGGCGGCCCTTTGAGCACATGGCGACTTGCGAGCTAAAGCATGCAGCATGGAAAACAGCCTTTCTCGTCGCCATCACCTCGACCAGGAGGGTGGGCGAACTCGTGGCTCTGTGCCATGACCCACCTTTCCTTGTGTTCCTGCCGGACGGTGTGAGACTGGTCCCTGACATATCCTTTCTGCCTAAGGTGGTCTCCGAATTTCACCTAACCTTGGAGATCTTATTGCCTAACTTCTTCCCTAAACTGGAAGACGGACAACCGTGACTTCTCCACACTCTAGATTTTTGGAGGGTGCTGCTCTTTTACCTAAATAGGACACGTCCGAGTAGGAGGGACAATCATCTATTTGTCTCCTACCCCAGTCATTCTGCAGGGCTTAAAATCTTAGCACAACGTCTCTCCAAATGGATTGTCAAGACTATTAAGCTGGGCTACCAGTTGGCTAAATGCCCGTTGCCCGTGTCTATACGAGCACACTCTACAAGATCCATGGCCGCATCTACAGCCTTCTTGAAGGGTGCTTCCCTGTCAGCGATCTGTGGGGCCGCGACATGGTCTACTCCGAACACCTTCATCAAGCACTACGCTGTTGATGTTCGTGAACGCCACAGAGTGGACCTTGATCGTCTAGTCGCTTCGTTAGCAGAGCACTGAATTTGCGACAGCTCCCACTTCCAGGTGAGCTACTGCTTTTCAATCTCTCATGGGTGTGATGCACAGAGATCACGAAGAAGATAAACAGGTTGCTTACCTGTAACTGGTGATCTTCGAGTGGTCATCTGTGCAGTCACACCACCCGCCCATCCTTCCCCACTGCTGTCGCTTCAGTACTTTTCTCTGGTTATTGACATGACAGTGGTCAGAAGGAAATGGCGTGATGTCCGTGACCCTCCTCTTTGGGCATGCACAGTGGGGTTCCCTCGCATGCCTGGAGGAGAGATGCGAAAATCCCTTTGTGAGCTTTGCATACCACCGATATGGATCAGCGCAGGCGCATAATCCCATGGGTGTGATTGCACAGATGACCACTCGAAGATCACCAGTTACAGGTAAGCAACCTGTTTTTCTTGTTGTTCAGTCACACAGTCGAGTCCAACTCTTTGTGAACCCATGGACCACATCACGCCAGGCCCTCCTGTCTTCTGCTGTCCTCTGGAGTTTGCTCAATTTCATGTTTGTTGCATCGATAACACTGTCTAACCATCTCATCCTTTGCTGTCCCCTTCTTTGACCTTCAATCATTCCCAGCGTCAGGGTATTCTCCAGTGAATGCTCCCTTTTCATTTGGTGGCCAAAGTATTTGAGCTTCAGTATCTGACCTTCCAGGGAACAGTCAGGGTTGATTTCCTTTAGGATTGGCTGATTTGATCCCCTTGCAGTCCAAGGGACTCTCAAGAGTCTTCTCCAGCACCAGAATTTGAAAGAATCTGTTCTTTGGCACTCGGTCTTCCTTATGGTCCAGCTCTCACAGCCATACGTTACTACTGGGAATACCGTCACTTTGATTATACTGACTTTTGTTGGCAGGCTGATGTCTCTTTATTATGCTGTCTAGGTTTGCCATAGCTTTCCTCCCAAGGAGCAGGAAATCATAAATGTTGGGTAAATCATACCCTTGTGATTCTTCTGTCTTCTGTCTGAGAGCTGTTTTTAGACTTTTTTTCTTAACATGGGTATGCTGTGATTGGGGGAAACAGTATGTGAGAACATCCTGAGGATCAAGTGATGTGTTGCATAGCTAACCCCCCCCCCCCCCGTTATACAGGCTCAGACCAGTGATGCCTTCCATCTCACTCCTGTGATATGAGGAGATTTAGCAACCTAAGCCAATATCTGAATCCCTTGTATGCTGCCCCCAGTCAGCGTTATCTGTAGTTTAGTAAAACTGCTCTGTATCTTTAAGACTTGTGCACCTGGGAATTGGAGTCCACAGTTAGGGGTCCCAGAAGCTTCCCTCTGACTGGCTCATTAAGAGTAATTTCCTGAGCTCAGAGGCGCAAAGATAGGATTTTATTGTTTTTTTCCGTTTCTTTGTTCATCAACCCTTACTGCAAGGAGAGGGGAAGGCCATCTCTTTCTCACCACGGTGATAGATTTAGACTTAGATCACAAGATGTAACTTCCACTCAGATATATCAGCCCGACTGTGAGTAACTGATTTCTGAATGCGTGTGAAGTTGAATAAAGATGATTTAAGCTGTCCTCAGTAGTCATGCATTGACTCACACCTAGAAAGTGCTGGCTTAGCACAGCTCGCACTGGACAGGACACCTTTATTTTTTTATTTATTTAATTTTAGACTTGCTATACCGTCCTAACCCTGGAGGGTCTCTGGGCGGTTTACATATGTTGCGTTCTATGAACTCTAATCCCTAACTTAGGCCACATATAGTATTGAGGTGGGACTGCCTACCGGCACCCTTGGTGGTGGGCCCTTGATGGTCTCTGGCTTGCTGGCTCGGCGTCTTCTAGGCAGGCTTCTGATGTTTCCAAGGTGACTGTCGGCGGGACCGCGCAGGCGCACGGCCCATGCATGCTTCCGGCCCCGGCTCCGTCCATCAGGCTCCGCCGTGCCTGCGTCACACACCTTGTGTCCAGAGACTTTGATGCACTAACTGCATTATTCAGTACAGTGTTTTAATGCTCCTCTCTTTCCTCTTTCCAGCCAAATTAAAACAACAGCAGCAAGAAATAATGCTTCAGATACAACTCCTCTCAGCAACAGCAAGAACAAGCAACAAACTGCATTGGCTTCAACTAGGCAGGAACTAGTAAACTGTTCAAAACAGGAAGCACAACTAGTAACAGATGTGTTGTCTACAGTAATCAAGTGAGCAGCTTCTCTCCTCTCTACTAGAATTTCTTTCTTACGAAGGCAGCACATACCCAGAGTCGTAGAATTGTAGGGTTAGAAGGAGACATTTGTGTCATGTTTTTTCCTACAAAGTGTTCTACAGAGTGATGTGCCTGGGGTTAATCCCATAGTATTCTCACACGTCGGCTAGCTTGAGGGATAGAAATATCCAAAGCAGCCCCGGCTGTTTCACAGCTGAGTAGGGATTTGAAACCAGCTTTCCCTGGCCCGTCCACTACAGTATGCTGACTTTCTAAGACAAAACCTTCCAGTTCAGACTCTGCCAAAAGAAAAAAAATCCCTATTGTTGGATGGGTTTGCCTATAGAGGATCCTTTTTTCCTATAGGAGGACTTTATTTGCCACGTTACAAACTGTATAATCCAGATAGTTACATGGTAAATATGCAACTTGAGTTCTGCTGTTGCTCCATGCACTAGTGCTCATTCCCCATGAAATCTCACTGTAACAAATGTTACTGGCATTTAAGAATATATCCTTGGGATTTTTCCTACTTTGTCCCTTTCCTGTCATGCCTTGAAGTAGCCTCAGGGATATATTAGCTTCTCCTGGCTCCTTGGGCTTGAAGACTAAGTGCCTGATTCCAGTTCCACCTTCTCTGTGCCTGATTCCAGTTCCACCTTCCCTCCTGACCTTGCAGGGGCTTGCTGGAGGAGACCCAGTTTCACGAGGCAGTGATGAGAAGTATTGCGGAGCCCACGCCGTACTTTTGCCAGTTCTGGAGTGAGGAGTCTGCCAAGCTGCATGACAAGAAGCAGAGTACTGGTACCTCCCCTACAACTCCTTCCCCGGAGGTCAGTGCTAAGGACAAGACAGGAGAGGAAGACACTAGGAGAGGGGAGGTATCCCCTTCAGGGACTTCAGATGCTGTAGAGAGCCTGAGTGTCATCATTCGCAAGGAACAGTTCCTGGAGGAGAGAGAAGCCATTCTCAGGTAACCAAAAGATATGACTCTGGGGTCATCTTTGAGGAGGAATCATCAGCCAACTAGCCATACTCTGAGGCTAATATCCCTGCAATACAAAACAGAACAGAAACATGCCTCCAGAACCGTATGGGAAGTGGGAAAGCTCACTGCCAGCTTGCCATGTTCCAGTCTCCCTCCTGTGGCTCACAGAAGCTGAGGATAGCTGTACATGGAAAATACTGTATTCAGTTTGTATGCCTTTCCTCCATTTACGTTTCCCCACAGAAGTGAACGGGAGCTACTTATGGAAGAAACAAAGGGGCTGCAATCAGGAAATAGCTGGGGGAGTGGACAAAGCTTGCTCCCCCTCTTCACAAGTGCCTGGGGCTGGATTTAACCCCCATCTCAGCAATGTCCCTGGTGGCAGCTCCTTTGCTCTACTTCCTGTCATAGAAGTGAGCACCTCCCATCAATGCTATAGAAGGGAGTGATTACAGTCCTTCATGGTGGTAGGCACTGCATCTTTGATACTGTAAGTAGTTCCAGAAGAGTGAGGAAAGTCAAAAGGTCTCTCCCCTATCCCTTCTCCCATGAGTTCATCTAGATTACATATATGGACTGATCCATCCTTGTCACTCATGAATGCCTTCCAGGCCTGTGCATTCCTGGCTGGTTAGATCTGAGCCTAGTCTCTGCCACTATTTATTTGTTTATTTATTATTCAAATTTGTACCCCACCCTCCCTTGCAATGCAGGCTCAGGGCGGCTCACAATCAGTACATGATACATAAATAAAGTTAAAAACAACATAAAATCATATAAAAACAATTCGATTGTTATTACTGTTAAATAAAGTGCTGCAATTGATTATTCAAGATGGCTTAACTCGATGTACTCTCTGAAAGTCGTTCTGCTCTGGATCTCCCTGAACGAAACAAGGACGCACGGTAAGTAGGAAAACCAACATACAACAAGTACCGTGCACAGATGATTATAACATAACATAAATAATTTTATATTTTTTGAAAAATATTTTTACAATAATTTTTACATATATAATTAATCATCTTAATCACAATTCACAATATAAGAGATATCAAAAATATCAAATATCATCTCCAAGAATCTCAAAAGCTATTGTACAACCTTATAATTAATAATAGTCCTCCTCTGTTAAATAAAAGAGGCTTAACTCGATGTACTCTCTGAAAGTCGTTCTGCTCTGGATCTCCCTGAACCAAACAAGGACCCACGGTAAGTAGGAAAACCAACATACAACAAGTACTGTGCACAGATGATTATAACATATCATAAATAATTTTATATTTTTTGAAAAATATTTTTACAATAATTTCTACATATATAATTAATCATCTTAATCACAATTCACAATATAAGAGATATCAAAAATATCAAATATCATCTCCAAGAATCTCAAAAGCTATTGTACAACCTTATAATTAATAATAGTCCTCCTCTGTTAA